CTATTTGTTATCTTACTTCTATCATTGACAGTCCCTCTAGGTTGTGGGCTGCTTGCCTGTGTTCCTGAGAAGCATCTACGGTACCAGTCTATAGAGTGTGTTTTCTTTAGTGAATTACCGGTATGTTTACCGGTAATAAACTTGCACTGTTTTATGTATATGTTTGATTACATACAGCCTTGTGACAGTTTTCCTGCATGTCATAAGCATTTGAATATAAATTAAAATGTTAAAATCAAATCTGATATTGTTTTACCTTTTATTTGGTGTGTGGAAGGTGTGCGGAAGAGGGGGTAGTCTTATACGGCGAGTATATAACAAACTCTGTATTTTGAGTGGAAATGTTAGGGGGTCGTCTTATACGCCCAGTCGTCTTATACGCCGGCAAATACGGTAATAATTAGATATTTATAAAGTGGCCACCTGTTTCGGTTTTTAATAATCTTTACTCACTTTTCCTGTTGAATGTTAGGTTGTCAATATAATAGGATGGTCGGGATCAGTAAATGAAGACAAAATGTAGACTACATAACTTTAGTTCTTTTTCATAAGACTGTGGTGAAATATAGGTGACAGCTAGTAGCTTAAATAAAATTTTGAAATGATTTATGGAATGTGAGTTTAAATTGGTTATGTAATCCTTATTTGTTACTTGACCATGTTTAGCTGAGCCATTAAATTAGGCTACCTAAGCACTTACTGATATTACAGTTTTTTTCTCCTGGTAGTTTATGACTATAACAATATATTTCTAAAGGTTCTAGGTAGATTAAAAGATGAAGAAATTCGATGTCGAAAATACTTGCACCCAAGTTCATATACTAAAGTGATTCATGAATGTCAGCAACGAATGGTAGCAGACCACTTACAATTCTTACATGCTGAATGTCATAATATCATTCGACAAGAGAAAAAAAATGGTAAGTGACACGAAATATAAATGTAAGTTAAAATAGAATTATAAACCACTTTTTACATAGTCAAGTTAACTTAGATTTCAAGTGTATTATAGTCATAATCTCTAAAATATTTGATATGCCTTATTAATAATTTATTTTAAAGGGCTATTTTGGAAAAGTATATTCACAAAGGGCATTCTAAACTAAAAGAAAAACCTGAGAAAATAGGTTTGCACATTTTTATGTATCATAAGGGCTAATTTCCTTAATACATTAAGAATTTTAATAACAGTAGGAAAAAGGCAAAGAATATAAAAGGGAATTATAAATGAATTTTAAATACATAGAGGTGCACAATCTCACTCAAAATAGGTGGTAGACAAAATAAAAATACAGCAGCTCTCTCTATGGAGCATGCCAGCACCTTTTCCCCAGGCGCGTTTTCCTCACCTCGCTCTTTCTCCTTAAGCTCCAAGGGCCCTTTTTTGCTTCTGTAACTTGTTTGGTAAGCCCATTTCTTCTACATCTCACTTCTACCTCTCTAACTTTCTAAATGAACTTTCCCTTGTGGTTTCTATTAAATAAATAATTAAAAATGAAAATACTTGATTTAAGACAAAAGTGGCACTGCAGACTATTGGGTGAAAGATGATAGTCTTTTCAACCCATAATGCTGAGTCCCCTGGATATTCATTTAGAAAAATGTGTAATTTGATCTTTACCCCAGACACCATATACAAAATCAAGTTATTGTAAGCTTTTTTTAATCCTCACCCAAGGAGTGAGGATATTTTTTCTATTGGTAGCTAGAAAGAGTAGAAGGAAGGAGGGAAGTGGAGAAAGAGAGAGAGAAACATTGATATGTAAGAGAGACACATTGATTGGTTGCCTCCCACAAGTGTCAGGAATTGAACCTGGGGCCCAGGTACATGCTCTTGACCTGGAATGGAACCCTTGAAACTCCGGAGTGCAGGCCGACACTTTAACCACTGATCCACACTGGCCAGGGTCATTGTAGGCTTTTGATCTAAATGTAAAACAGTAATAATTTTAGAAGATAACATAG